TTCTGTTTTCCATAATACAACACATGCTATTCTATGAAGTTGTTTAAGTATAAAGTAATCTGTGCTTTGTAAGTGGAATTTATAACAGCCAGGTCATTAATTTAATGTGCTGCAATTATTTTTTCACTGATGTTTACTCTGCATCCAATTTTTGTCCCTCAGTCATGAGCTTACTATCCTAGATGGATAGCATGAAAATTCCTTGCATTTTCTTCCTTGTGCTTGCCGCCTGTGCCCTGAGATTTCACCTGTTTGTATCTTAAAATCCTTCCAGGAGAACTTTAGCCTGAGGATGAATACTTGTGACAGAAAAATGTTCCTCAGAACATTGTCTTCTAAGAAGGCCAGCTCCATTCTCAGCTGTAAATGTCCATTACTAATGATTATCATTGTGACCATTGTGGTTACAATATCGTTGTCATAAACCCTTTGGTTCCAACTTTGCAGCTTAGTTATTTTCTTTGCATAATGCCATTAGTGTACTATGCATTCAGGCTCTGATCATGCAGGATTTTTCCATATGCTGGACCTCTGCACTTGGGTAGAACCCCACTGATTTCAGTTGGGCTCCATGTGGGCTCCTCTGTGGGATTTGTTGCAGGCTTAATGCCTTTATCAGTTTTATAATGATGCTGAATATAAAAAAGTGATTGCATATATTGAAGAGTTCCTCATGTAACTGTATCTTAGATTCCCTAAACTCCCCTCTCCCCCTCACCCTCGGAAGACTATTAAGTGTAATTGACGGTCTTAAAAATTGAGCTTCCTAAAAATGTGTGAATGTATAGAATTGCTTCCTATTTTTAACTACATATGTGCATGCATTGCATGATAGTCTTGAAAAGATACAGTCAAGGTGACATTGTAATTATATTTTTGTAGTGAAGCATTCTAATAATGTATATTAAACACCTGCTAGAACTGCAGTCAGAACTGGAACAGACTACCAGTAAAAGACAAAGTGTACCAAATGATTTTTTCCACTAGATTTATTTTAACATATACATAGTTATATGCATACAATATGGATGTGTGTATAAGTATCTTATTAAATAGTGACAGGTTTCAGGGTAGCAGCCGTGTTAGTCTGTATCCTCCTGTTTTTATTAAATAGTGCCATTGTAATTAGATTTCATCTTCCTCTCTTCAGTATTCCTGGTGAAAACAGGAACATATGAACTCATTTTATGCAACAACCATGCAGCCAAATCCACCCAAGGGTTCTGGGTGAGGATATTTTCAGCTGTTGGATTGGATTTGTGGCATAATATAGACTTTCTCACATTACACTGAGTCAAGCTCTTCTAGGACAGATACAGTGTTAAATTGCCATAGCTGCATCCGTTTGTTTGTTGATTCATTCACTCTGAATAATATATTTTAAAACCTTGTGATAAGAATTGCAAAAAAAAATATTGAACAAAGTCCAGCCTGTAGGAGGTTGCTAGCATATTGTTTACTTCAACAAAATGTGCTAATTTGTAAACTCACTTTGCAGTTAGAAGCTGCATTTTTTGATTTGGTGATAATCATCCTCTCACATGATTTTATCAGGACACATGCACCCAGGATATATATAGCATGTGCTTATGTCCCATTGACTTCAAAACAGAACTTCAGTGGAACTTAAGTAATTCATAGGCTTTCTGTCACCCCACTGTATAGGGGACAAAGTTCACATTTTATGAATGAGGCTCTATTTTTAACATTGAGGCAAAATGTGATTATAATTTGTAGCTGGATATTTCAGGACTTGGTGCTGGTGTCTCTTCCTCCAGTTGTCCAACACACACATTCCTATCATGTATTCAGTCATAAAACACATATATTGGAATATATTTTCCTGATAGTACTTGAAGAGCTAAAGTCACAGCACTTGTTAGCATCAAGAATTTTCACCCAAAGAATCACCAGGCTCCACTGACCAGGTGCATCAAATAGTAGCAGGTAGAGTTGGGTAAATTTTTAACTAGATAGTTTAGGAGACAGGCTCATGACTACAATTAACAAAAACAATAATGAATGGCAGCCACTGCAGCAGTTCTAGACATCTACATGAAACACAGAAATTGACTGTAAACAGCAATACCAGTAGGTTGCATTTGACAATGAAAGGCAGGTTTGAGTCTGAGGTCAGTCAATGGAAGTTCACTGTTTTTTCTTCCACAATATAAGTAGAATTTTTTGAGAACACCAGGATGGAAATCACAGAGGCTGTGAAGCACCGATTAAGGATGAATTGGATGCATACAACTCAGTTAAAAAAACCTTGAAAATTAGAGCCATCATAACAACTACACATTCTTTCAATAGAATTTTCCAAAATATTTCTGGTATGAATTCTTTCAAACCTTCCAGTGTTATGTCCAGGACTGCTCTGGTGCTCTGGATCTAAAGATGACTGTGTATGTGCGGGTATATATGCATACTAATGTGTTGTTATTGGATGTGAGGTATCATGAGCTGCTAAATTCAACTAGAAACAGGCATGGTACTCTACATTTAGGACATGTTGAGGGCAGAAGTGGAGTTTGCATCATTGAAGTACACATTTCAATATCACTACTGGGTCCAGGGTAGTTCTGTGATCTCTTTTGATGAAGTCTTCAGTCATGTCAAATTATGGCAATTTGTTATAAAGGCTATACAGATTCACCATATATGCATTAATATTTATACTGCAGTCTTACACAGAAAAGGTCAGGGTTTTGTTTGCCAGCCTACACAGCTGCCTCAAGGATATTTTATAGCTGTGCACGCTTCATTTTGCAGGGTAAAATAACACAATGCATCAGGAAAATTTATATTTACATATATAATATGCATGTGCATCTGTGCAATAGTGCAGTAGAGTTCTTGTTTTAATAGCTGAAGGGACGGGGATTAGATGAAATGTTCAATAACTGTATATGTAAAAATTAAAAAATAAATCCATCACAGATACATTCTCCTCTTCCAGCAGGCTTAGCTGAGATCTAAGGAAAACTTTGGCAAAACCTGCTGCGATTTTCTTCTAGCACCTATGGAATTCCATAGACTATTAGTCATGGTTTTAAAATGGTTCAGTTTTTATCTGCTTTTTTTGTACATCTGCATTTTTGAAGAACATAAATATGGATCATTCTGGAATATCTGAGAATTGTGGCTCCAAAAATGGCATTAGAATCTATAAGCAATCCACATCATGTGATGTATTTCAAATGTTTCTTAATACATTCACCTGTATTATAGATTAACAAAATATAGGGCCAACTTCTGCCCTCAGTAACACCCGTGTAATTCCATTTATGTCAATTGCCCAGAATTTGCATTTCTGAAGGGAACATTAGAATTTGATCCAGCATGTTTGCTAATCCATTTTAAATGACTTAAGCTGAGTGTTTGTGTTCTGGGCACATTTTTCAGTGTGTTAGCATTTATATTATCTCATCAAAGCATGGAAGCTTTTTTACATGGCTAACTCCCATGGATATCAATGAGAGTTATGCATATATGTCTCCTGCTTATTGATGGAAAAACAAGCCCCTAAATTAGGATCATACTAGTCAGAGAGAGAAAACAGTTATTCAATTTATCAAGACCATCCTACTACATATTTATGATATAATTCCCTGAAACAGGACATATTTGATATTAAACTGATACTACACTTAAGGGCTTGTCTACACATTGTTACTCCTGAGGGAATTCTGTGCCAAAAAATTAAAAATTTGGTGCCAAAAAATAATAATGTGCACAATATTTTAAAATTCTGCAAAATTCTGCAAATTTTATTTGTCAATAAATAAATGTGACTCCTGCATGGCAGTGGGGAGCACAGGCCACTGGCTGCATTGAGGTGGGAGATCACCCTTAAGCCCCCACCTCTCCCAATACAGGGACTCAGCAGTGAGGCTGCACAGTCTCAACCTTGACACAGTGCAAGGACTGGGCCTGCCCCAGAAACACCCTTGGGCCCTGCCCCTCTGCGCCAGGTGCACCAGGTGTGGGCAGGCTTAACCTGGCATGATCCAAGTGTGGAGGGGCTCGGTGTGGGGTGAGAGGTTTTTGTCTGGGGGAATCTGGGTGCAGGCGGATCGGTGGGAGACCTGCACAGGGGCTCATTGGGGGGGTTCCAGGTGCAGGAGCAATAGGACTCTGCCGGGGGTCCAGGTGAAGGTGGTTGGAGCTCAGTGGGGGGATCTCGGTGGGGAGATGGGGCTCGGCGGGGGGGTCTGGGTGTGGGAGGCTCAGTGGGGGGTAGGGCTTGTCAGTGTGAGGGTTCGATGGGCCTGCTTAATTGGGGAGCCCCAACTACTGTCGACGGGATGCTGCATGCTGGGCTCCCGCTTCCTCCTGTGATTCCCCTATCCCCTTTTCTTCCCCATTTCATCCCCCCTCCACCATTGCCCCATGCCCTATCCCCTCACTCCAGGGGTGCTGGAACAATGTATATAGTGAGGGTGCTGAGAGCCATTGAACCAAACTGTAAACCCTGGATATGATGGAAACCTCCTCAAGGCAGGGGGTGCGGCAGCACCCCCCCGCAGTCCTAGTTCCAGTACCTATGCCTCACTCCCACATTCCCCTCCCCCTGCCCTATTCCACCCCCACTTCCTTCCCCACTGCCTCTTCCCCCCACCCTCTCCCCTCCCCCTTCCCTCATTTCCCCCGCTCCCCCTTAGCAAGCTCCACCACGGGCACTCACTGTTGCACAGAAAACAGGAAGGCTCCCAGCACACAGAACGGGGGCACGATAGGTCCCAGGAGGCGGCATTCATCTGCAGAGTCAGCAGAGCCAAGACGCAGCCTCCTTCAGCTGGGCAACTCTGTGCTTGCAGAAATTGGGGGGGGGGAACGGCACGTAACCCCTTGTGCTCCCCATGCCTCACCTCTGTTGGGGAGGAAATCCCCCCCAAAAACTGCGCCATGGTCGTCCCCGGATACCCCCTCCCCAGCACGGTTTCCCAGGAATTCGGGGGGTGGGGGTGGGGTGGAGAGTGTTTTCTGCATGCAGTCCTGCAGAATTCCCCCATGAGTAACACACAGCACTGCAATGGCACAGCTGCACTGATGCACCTTTGCCACCGTAGCACTTAGTGAAGACACTACCTACACTGACAGGAGAGCTTCTCCTGTCAGTCTAGGTACTCCACTTGCCCAAGAGGTGGTAGCTATGTCGACATAGCACTGTCTACGTCAGGGGTGTGGTCAATATAACTGTGTTGCTCAGGGTGTGGCTTTTCCACTCCCCTGAGCAACATAATTATACCAATGTAAGTCTGTCATGTAGACCCAGCCTTAATCTTTCAAAGTTAATATACTGTAAAGACAAAAACAGAAGGCTGGTATGTCAATATCACAGCATGCTACCATGTAACATACTCCTTTGCTTCTTAGGCCAGTGGGGACTGAAAATACGGCAAAAAGAGTGTGATCAGCCCCTGGGGAGGAAATACTTTATGGTTCTCTTGGGTGAGGCCTCTGTCAGTTAGGAGCTCTGGTATTAATGGGCATGTTCAGCTGTCCTTTTAGGTCACTGTGAAATGAGGTCTTTGAAAAGGGGAGAATCTTAAGAATCACAAAAACAATGAGGAGTCCTTGTGGCACCTTAGAGACTAACAAATTTATTTGGGCATAAGCTTTTGTGAGCTAGAAATAAGCGGTGATGTTGCAATGATTTAGTTAAACTAGTACACCTTTGTGCTTGTACATGGATATATTGGTTTAACTGGCCCTGTTAAGTACTTGCAGGTGCAATTAAATAATTTCCTGTATTTTCCACTTCATCAGATGCATGGAGTGGAAAATACAGGAGCAGGAATAAATACATGAACAGATGTGAGTTGCCTTACCAAGTGTGAGGTCAGTCTAATGAGACAATTCCATTGACAGCAGGATATCAAGGGAGGGAAAATAACTTTTGAAGTGGTAATGAAAGTGGCTCATTTCAGACAGTTGACAAGAAGGTGTGAGTAACAGTAAGGGAAAATTAGTATTGGGGAAATTAGGTTTAGGTTTTGTAATGACAGACAACCTTGCATCCTCAGTCAGATGAATAAGAGAAAACTTCCTACGTGATTGAAACTGTTCTACCCAACTGCCTTGCTAGCAATACATCATGACAACATTGTTTGAGGACCACATTTTCAAAAGCAACCCATAAAATGGTGCCCATTATTTGTCACTTTTGATTTTCATGCATATAAAACCATGGAGTTGTGAATGCAGCCTGTGTTTGCACATGCAAATAGCATAGCTACCAGTTTATACCATGTCTACCCAGTTTATATGCACAACCATAGGATGCATGCAGAAGTCAGAGTTTCAGGCATGCAAAATCTTAGACGTGAAAAAGTAGAGATGAAAATTTCAGAGGCCAAGATGAGGACTCTGAGAATATGGACCTGAAGCAGGGGTGCTGGAAGAATTTTTATAGTGATGGCCATTGAACCAAATTGTAAACGCTGTATATAATGGAAACCGTTTCAAGCCGGAGGTGCAGCAGCACCCCTAGTTCCAGCACCTATGATCTGAAGGGTTGTATACAATGAAAAGTAAGAGAACTGGATTGCGTGCTGTGGCAATTAGATTCAATCAAAGAGCTGCTTTCGTACTGAAGAAGTGGAAACATTTCCGTTATCTATATTTAAACTAATTTGGGGTAGATATGGAGAGAAGATACTCATAGACT